TTTTAGTTGATTTTGGCATTTCTTTTTTTTTCATTTACTAACGGCAAACTTCCTTTTAAGTATTGCACAGCAAAATGTGGCGAAAGAATGAACCCCTAGTGAAAGATGAAACCTTTGGAGAAAGATGAAGCCACTGGAACTAACGTCAATCTTAATCTGAAAACTAATGAATGTAAAAAAAAAAAAAATCAATTTTTAAATGATTTTAACTTTTAAAAGGTAAAAACTCTCAACTCAACGTACAACTTTATTCAAATTATAAAAGGAACGACAAATGTCCACATTAAGTGCGACAGAGAATTTCTTCTCAAGCGATTTGAAAAAAATTTTTTTGATCGACCATCTAATCTTTTATACTTTTGATGACGTATGAGGTACGTAATGATTTTTTAAAGCCATGATCATAGTTGCACGATAACATCGATATTGGATCATGCGTTGATAAATAACGTGAAATTTGTTCAACCGAACAAATGATTGGCTGACACATGCCACTTCGCGGCATGTGTCAGCCAATCATTTGCCCGGTTGAACAAATTTCACGTTATTTGTCGATGCATGACCAATATCTTATAAATATAATGCCAAATATGTAAACAATCTGAATATATGTTTCAAATTCCTTATTTTTAGACAATATGTTTACTTTAATATTATAGAAATTTAAAACTCTTGTAATAAAATAAATTGTATATAAACTATTCAAAAAATGTATTTAAACCTTGAATTTTTACTTATAGTTATTTTGTAATCATTCTTGATTATTTTACAAAATAAAAAATTTATATATTTAAAATATACTTTATAATATTTTTAATCATAATACTTATACTATTTTATATATCAATCATGATTATTAACTATCATTTTACCTTTTGACAACTTCATTAATATATGAAAACTAGAAATATAGTTAGACCTCATTATAGTTACTTTTAATATAATCACAATCTTGTTATAATCACATTATTTTTTTAACCTCACTATTATAAAACTTATAAATTTATCTTTATATAGTTACAACTTTTTATAATTACCAAAATTTTGTTTCCCAATCTAGTGATCATATTGAGGTTTAACTGTATATAATTTAAATATTAGTTTAGCTATACTTTATATTTCTATAGTATATATTTATTGATATTATATTTTATTACTATATTAAATTCTATAACTACAGCCAAATCTCCTTATAGTCACTTTCTATATAAGCATATTTTTTTTATAAATCTATTTTTTTAAAAACAACTTATTATTAAATATAATAAATTTAACCTTTATAACTATCACACTTCTTTACAATTATACTATTTTGTATTCCAAATGTGTAATTATAGAGAGGTTTGATTATATTATATATTATTAATAAAAAAATAGTTTATTAAATATAAACTATTAACTCAACTTGACAAAACTATCAAATGAAATATTATTGAAAAGTTAATTAATATACTTAACTATAATTACTATTAGACTAAAATCATAACCACTAACAAAAGTAAATTAGTATATATTTACTACATAAAAAAAATTTAAGAATAGCTATTTTGAAAGATATACTATATTATAACCAAAGTATTAACTATAGATAATAACAAAAGAAAAATAATTAATAATATATATAATTACCAATTTTATATTATTATTTTTTTTTTTTCAGTGTTAAGGTGATCTCTATGGCCAGGGGCTTTTTATTAGATAATTAACAACATTTACAATTATAATAAGGGTACAACTAGCTACACGTACAACTTTTGGTTATCTATTTTAAGTAGTCCATCTAAGTTCTACACTAGCCGCTATGCCTGAAATCTAACTAGAAGATTACCTATTTAAGCTCTCTGACTTTTTACAAGTGAGAGTACAACTAGCCATACCTGCAACTTTTGGTTGCCTAT